GGTTTCATATAGATGTTGAAGAGCAGGGGAGAGAGAACCGATCCCTGAGGCACCCCACAAGTGAGGAGCCTCTGGGAGGATCCCTGACCCCCTGCAGACTGCAAACAGACTGCAAGCGACCAGAGAGGTAGGAGGAGAACCACCGCAAAACAGTGCCTCCTATCCCTATCTCTCTGAGCCGCTACAGCAGGATACCATGGTCGATGGTATCGAAAGCCGCTGAGAGGTCAAGAAGGACCAGGATGGAGGAGGAACACCCATCCCTGGCCCGCCAGAGATCATTTACTAGAGCGACCAATGCCGTTTCCGTGCTATGACAACGCCTGAAACCAGATTGGTAAGGATCGAGGTAGTCTGTTTCCTCCAGGAATTGAGGGAATTGCTGTGCCACCATGGACTCAACAACCTTCACTAAAAAGCGAAGGTTGGAGACTGGATGGTAGTTGTTAAGAACATCAGGGTCCAGGCTAGGCTTCTTAAGGAGGGGCCGAACCACCGCCTCTTTGAGTGCAGCGGGGAAGACCCCTTCCCTTAACGAAGCGTTGGCAACAGCCTGGATCCAGTCTCCAGTCACCTCTCTGGCTGCAGAAACAAGCCAGGAGGGACAATGGTCCAATAAACACGTGAAGGACCCCAGCTGACCCAAAATCCTGTCCACGTCATCCAGCAAAACAGGCTCAAACTCAACCCAGATGTTCCCATCAAGACTAGCCCCCGTCTCCTCAACAGACTCTGTCCAGTCAGAGTCCAACCCAGCCCGGATCTGAGTGATTTTATCTTGCAGAAACTGTGCAAAGTCCTCAGCTCGGCCCTGCAAGGAGTCCCTCCCTCGCTCCCTGGTTAAGGAGAGAGTGGGTCACTCTAAACAGGGCGGCTGGGCAGTTTTCTGCAGATGCAATGAGAGTGGCGAAATAATTACTTCTATCGCCACAAGATAAGACCTAATATAGGTTCTTAGTTTTGTTCAGTCAGATTCGGATCGGGAGGACCTCCAACCACCCTTCAGGTGCCTTTTCCGACGCTTCATTTCCCTGAGCTCTGCAGTGAACCATGGAGCCGCCTGGGATCTGCGTCGGATCAAAGGCCACAAAGGCGCGATTCGATCCAGGGCCCCCACCGCAGCCTGTTCCCAGGCTGTGATAAGGGCCTCAGATGAATCTTGGGCTAAGGAGGCGGGAAATAACCCAAGCTCCCTCAGGAACGTTTCGGGTTCCATCAGGCGCCTGGAGCAGAACCATCTTACTGGCTCCGCCCCACTGCGGCGGGGGATGGCGGTGTACTACAAAGTCCCAGCTATCTCACTTCGCTCTTCCCTATCCCTCAGCTCCAGTCTGGCAACACTGAAGCTCCAAGATGGCTTCAGTCAGGTCAGTTTCAGGGTTGACAGGCATTTTTGAGTTCCAAGCAGAATTTGTGAATTTCGGTAGAAGCATCAGAATGTTTGCTATGTATCTTCACGGCAAAACTTTCCATAAATTAGATACATAATAATCAGAATCAGTTCAATAATCATCTTCTTGGTTTCTGGAAGGTTTTATTGAACAAAAATGCCCACATGTATTTTTTGTGGAAAACTGTGTATACTTGTAATTGATTGCTCTTGGTATGGTTTATAGTGGATAATTGGATACATGCATTACTGCTATCTCTTCTTATATACCACTTTATCTTTCATATACTTCTAGAACATCCTCAACATAGCATCCTTCAGATTTGATGGTTATTTATTTATTTTTAAAATAGTGGATATTTATGAAACTGGTTTACGAAATGTCCAATTTTTGTATTGCCCAGAGAATCCAGCTAATACAAAAATCTGGTATTTTGTAACTTCTGTTTTATTTGAAGGATACTAGCCTGGGAAAAATTATTGATATAAGCAATAGTTTATAATTTGTTGATTATCAGGTATAATTTTTAACAATTGTAACCATTTGTCTTGCTTGATTTGTAAAGATAATGTTAAGAAATGCTTTGATATAAAGGAGTTTGCTGAAACAACTGGATCTTAATTTTATTTTGCAACATTTCCCCCCCATCTCTGCATTTTACAGATACAGCGAATCATACGTCTAAAATAAACAAAAAACCATTTAAAATTTTTGCTGTTTGGAAAGACAAAAAAGGATAAATAAACAAGATCCAATTATATGTACCTCTTGTAGAGTTAAAGAAACTCTCCTGTTCTTAGGCAGGAAGCAAAGGTTTTTTTGCCTCAATAACTTTTCTGACTGCTTCTTTGGAAAGGTTAAAGCTCAGCAAGGAGGCCAGGAAATTGGGCAGTTTTCAAGCAACAATACAAGCACCTGTTTAATGCTAATTAATGGACTAATTCAAAAAGGGAAGCCCAGGTGTCTAAATCCTGAAGGTAACAGGCTATATGACCGAGGTCACCTTTCTTTCAGTAGCCCAATATAGACATTGTACTATTAAGAGTGAAATTCCGAAACCTAATAATTTAGCAATGGAGGATAAAATTGTAGCGGTCCATTTTTTTATTTCTCTTAGAAAATGATTGAATCATAAAGCATCAACCCTTATTTGCATTTCATTTATATCCAGCATGTACCTAAAAGACCATTAATAAACTGAAACAGTTAAATGGGCATACTTTGCTGAAATAAGCATACTTTTGAGGTAATCATTTCTTTTAAAACAAAATATACCTTTTCTTCTTTAAGAAGAGGTAAAGAACGTGCTTGTGCAAAAAAAAAAAAGATCACAAATTCAGTTCAAATTTTTATTTGATGGAGCAGGTAATTGGAGGAGATAGCACAGGTAGTTCTCAACCTATGACTGGTTGCTTAGCAACTGTTCGATGTGTCTTCCTAGCAGTGGTGGGTTGCCCCCGGTTCACACCGGTTCTATAGAACCAGTAGTAAAACCTGCGGGAGGCTCCATCCACCGACCCCGACGTCATCAAAATGCTTCTGCACATGCCCAGAAGCTTCTGTGCTTGCACAGAAGAGCGCACGCATGAACGAAGCGAGCCTGCGCGGCCCCATTGCAAACTGGTAGTACTTATAGTACTTACAGTACTTACTGCTTCCTGGGGATACTTATAACTTGGCTCTGAAGTTCTGATGGCCATTCTCCCCTCCCCCATGGTCACGTGACTGCAGGTTGGGCACTCGGCAACCTGCTCACATTTATGGCTGTTTCTAGCATCCTAAGCATTCTAGTGACACAAATGCATTTTATGACAGTTTTGCGAAAAACAAACAAACAAAAAACCATGGCATTTACTTTTTTGTTTTCAGCAAAACTGGCCCAGGGCGACAAACTAAGCTATTTGTCTGGCTCTATATTAAGCTGTTGTGTATGCTTGGGTTAGCAAAACAAAGCAAAATTTATCCCTCTTCTTGCTTAATTCCTTCTTTCTGCTGAGATCCTGAGGATTTACTGATTGCTTCGACATCTTTTTATCTTCTACTTCTTTTTATGCCTTCGAGTCAGTGTTGACTCTTGCCAAATGCCTACACAAGTCCCACAGTTTTCTTGGCAAGATTTCAGAAGTGGTTTGCCATTGTCTCTTTCCTAGGACTGAAAGAAAGGGACTCACCCAGGGTTACCTAGCTGGCTTTCTTCGTGCCTAAGGCAGGACTAGAAGTCCTAGTTGCCCGGTTTCTACGTCTTAACCTCTAGACCAGTGATGGCTAACCTTTTCCGGACTGAGTGCCCAAAGCGTATGTGTGTGTGTGCAAATGCGTGTGTGTGTGCCCGAATCCCCAAAATGCAATGTGCATGCACCCCAACCCCTGCACATGTGTGCATAGCACCCCACATGCGCCCCCCCACACCCCGCATGCACATGCAGCCCCCTGCACGCCCTCTGCGCATTCGTGGCAGAGACCCAAAGGCCAGCTGGCTGGCGGGAGGCACATAAACATGCGTGGCGGAGCTGAACTGGTGCGACGGCTCACATGCCCACAGAGAGGGCACTGCGTGCCACCTCTGGCATGCGTGCCATAGGTTCACCGTCACGGCTTTAGACCAAACTCATTGTCTCCACGTGCACTAAGATTCCCAAATTCATGAGACTGATGGACTCATTTAGATGGAATAGTTGTCATGGGGTCTGACCAGCCATAAAGCCATCTGATTCAATGGTTGTTGGGAGGAAGAAAGAGAGACAGATGGAACAGGATGTTAATTATGGAGCGTACCCACAGCAACTTCAATCCTGTATGCAAAGAAATGCTTCACACTGTTTCCTCTGTCTGCATCCTACTAACATGGACAGCACCAACCTGGATTGCTGAAGGGACCAGCATAGGAGAAAGGTGGTTGGGAGAACCAAGACTTAATACAGAACAGACTCGGGCACCAGGTCCTTCTTTTATTCCCCTTTGACCACATGATAGCATCTAAAGCAGGAAACTACGGTGGTGTCTAAAGCTGGAGGCCACTGCCCAGCACGATAGCTCTGGATGGATCATCATCATCATCTGTTATAACTAATGATGCAACCCTCTTTCAGGAGCCATTGTGGTTACGATCACTACTATTCCTGCTCTTGGCTGCAACCATGTCTGGTAATCAAGTTCAACAAGGAGATCCTAATAGAGATACTTCTTGTCCCCAAGCCATCCATTAAAAATACATATATCAAAAGAAATTGGGCAGAAGAATGTAGATCAGGAGCTCTGCTTAGAACTCCCCAGGAGCTGCATGCGTCTCGTGATCTGTAGTTTGCCCAGTCTTGGAGGGAGCTGGCACTTGTTGCCGTTCCATAAATATGTGTTAGCAATAACTAAAGTAGGCATGGAATGTGCAGCTGGGTTTCTGTTACAAGTGCTCTTGGCAGTGACTTGGCTGGAAAGTCACAGAATTACAGGAAACGCACTGACACATTTCTGCATGCAACCGGGCTTCTAGCTTAGTAATCATGACAGACGGCGAGCAACGAAAAGCAACCTGAGATTCTAAAAAAAAAAAAAAAAAAAGTTGCTTCATTTTTTTCATAATTGTTTTTTTATTGTTGTCATTGTTTCTTCCAGGCGACTGAATAACAATGAACTGACAGCCATTCCATCCCTGGGAGCAGCTTCAGCCCACATATCTTCCTTGTTCCTGTAAGTCTTAGCATTAGCATTCCTACAAGTATATTTTTAATTTGAAGAATCTGTGCAAGGTATACTGTGTGTTTCTTATTTTAGCTTTAATACATTCAGTGATATCTGACCAGCCGGAGCTTACTAAATGTTGAAGTTCTAGTTAAAGGCCTCTGCTGTTCTCACCTGTAAAGTGAAGTCTTCCACTATCTTTTTCTCTAAAAGTGCCTTTTATCTAGAATACATTAGTAAAATCTAACCTGAAAGAAAGAAACAGTGGTAACCTGTGGTACCTGAAAGAGAGAGAGAATGAAGATGATGAGTTATAGGTCTCAGGACTCAATAGAGGTTATAGGTTTGCAGAACTCGGTTGAAAATTAATCCCCCCCCCCCGTCATTTATATCAGAGTTCCCCAACTTTTCTGGGTTGGCGGCCCAGAGGGAAAGGGAGGGGCAGGTGATGCTAGCACTTGTGGTGACATTAGCGCCCGTGTGATCTAGCAGCGATGCTAGCGTCCCCGTGACATGATGCTGGCTCGTGTGGGGGTGTAAGCACGCACACACAGCAGTGGTGGGATTCAAATTTTTTTACTATCGGTTCTGTGGGCGTGGCTTGGTGGGTGTGGTTTGGCTTGGTGGGCATGGCAGGGGAAGGATACTATAAAATCTCCATTCCCTCCCCACTCCAGGGGAAGGTTACTGAAAAATCCCCATTTCCTGCCAATCAGTTGGGACTCGGGAGGCAGAGACTAGATGGGGGCGGGGCCAGTCAGAAGTGGTATTTACCGGTTCTCCAAACTACTCAAACGCTCCACTACCGGTTCTCCAGAACTGGTCAGAACCTGCTGAAACCTACCTCTGACACACCGGCCCACACTGGCCAGCCATTCACGTGGCCTGGTGCTCAACAGGCCACAGTCTGGCAGTGGGCCTCATTCTACAGATTGGGGGCCCCTGATTTATATAATTCCCCATCTTCAGATGTGCAAGATTCTGTTAAAATGTCATTAAAAGTACAGTCCACACATTCCTGAACAATATGTTTGTGGATTGGCTTGATCTTTTACTCCAGCAACCGTGAAAATTATATTTGAATAAAATTTCCCTGCTAAGTATCAAATTAAGGATGACAAAGAATACAGATAGTCCTTGACTTACGATCATTCACTTAGCAACCATTTGAAGTTATAACAGCACTGAGAAAAGGGACCTATGATTGGTTCTCCCACTTACAACTGTCACAGCATCTCCACAGTCATGTGATCAAATTTCAGCCAGCCTTCATTTACGATGGTTGCAGTGTCCTGGGGTCATGTGATCATCACCTGAGACCTTCCTAGCTGGCTTCTGACAAGCAAAGTCAACTGGGGAAGCTCAGTTTGCTTACTGACCACGTGATTCCCTGAGCAATTGCAGGGATTCGTTTAACAACTACAGCAAAAAAAGGTTATAAAATTGGTCACAATTCACTTAACTGTCTTGCTTAGTAATGGAAATTCTGGTCCCAATTGTGGTCATAAGTCAAGGACTATCTGCATATAAAATGAATACTTTTTAAAAGAGAAAGACTGTTAATAAAAATGTCACATTAGGGCTGGTTTTCAGTGTTGTTGCTCTTGTTCTAGCTGCTCAAACTAGCCATCAAGAGATTATAAAGCGACAGATAGTTTGCATTGACTTTTGGCCCCATAGATTTTGCGTAGTCTATGTCAGAAGCCAGCTAGAAAGGTCTAATTCTGGTGGCCTTCAAGGATACTCTAGCCACAGCTATCAATGGAAACATTGTTTTTTACCATAAGCCAAAAAATAGGTTTAAAACCAATGTCCAGAAATGCCCCCCCCCAAATAACAATATCTAAGTAGCATAACATTAATCAACCTGAAACTATCAAATCCCCATTCTCTCCCCCCAAAAAAGCACCTATTGAAAACAGCAAAATTCCTAATAAGGAACGCAAGAAAATGGGTTTTTAAGCCTCTTCTGAAGCCATACAGCCAGGGAAGAGGGTATGCATTTCAAAAAACAGGAAGTTCCATCCATTTGGTGCAGTCACTCAGAATTCCTTAGCTTAGTTGATTCTAACTGACCTACTAGGCAGTGGTGGGTTTCAAATTTTTTTACTACCGGTTCTGTGGGTGTGGCTTGTTGGGCGTGGCATGGCTTGTTGGGCGTGACAGGGGGAGGATACTGTAAAATCTCCATTCTCACCTTACTCCATGGGAAGGATACTGCAAAATCCCCATTTCCTCCCGATCAGCTGGGACTTGGGAGGCAGAGAATAGATAGGGGTGGGGCCAGTCAGAATTTTTACTACCGGTTCTCTGAACTACTCAAAATTTCCACTACCGGTTCTCCAGACCTGGTCAGAAGCTGCTGAAACCCACCTGCAATAAAACCCTTCAAAGGCCACTGGAGCTTGTGGTAACATCTTTATAATTGTGGTATGATCAGCTTGAATCACAATCTGTCCTGGAATTGCAGTTGCTCCCTGCCTATGTTGTGCTTACATTTGTTATGTAGACACTTTCTAAATGCAACTGCTTGTTTCTTAGTTGTTGTGGTCATAGATCAGCATCTGGTGATCAGCAAATTTCTAGTGTTTTTGGCAATTCTTCTGGCTCATGCACATCCTTTACACGTAGCTGTTTGATTCTATTGAGGACATTCATATTGAGGGCCTTTTTCCTAGGGTTGATACAAAGCATTTAAGTAAAAACATAAAATACAAATGATACTTCCCTGCAGAATCTCAGCATAGTTCTAGACGTAGCAGTCTCATACTATATTGTTAATTGAGGCAGAGCCTGACATGTATTACAGTTTAACTGTTCACTGGGGAACAGATTTTATTTTTCTTCCTTTCTGCTTTGAAAATATTGCCAAAGAAATTCATCTCCAACACTAGCAAACATTTGGAAAGGATTTTATGAGAACAGAAGAAAACAATTTGTATGTGAGTTAACCAAAGACAGACCTGCAAAGAGATTATAAATACCGACAACCTGGTGGTGATTGTGATGCAGGAAATTCAAAGTGTGGAGACTATATTTTGAAACACAACTCTGCAAATTCCAAAGATACACCAGGAGTAGATTTCATTGTAACTTAGTTAATTATTGCTTGGGATGTAGAACCCTGGCGGATTTTTTACAAGCCTTCTGAAAAGATCAGGAGAAGCACAATTCTCTCTATGGCATTCATTGTTCCAATTCTCTTAATTCCTTTTATAAGGACCCCTGAGGATTCTGTATTACTAGCAGGTGAGCCAGGGCAGCGGAAGAAAACCCAGAGATTTGCAAAGCAGGCAATGACACAAGTAAAAAAAATCACGTAGCCTCCTCTGAGGACTTCACAAATACCAAAAAAATGAGATTGAAATGATAACACTTATCCTGAGTTCCATCCTCGTTTCAGAGGCCTTCGAGGACAAATCCGTGTAAAAGAATATTTTCCTGACAATTTGGCACTTGTAACATTAGCAAAAGAATGAGAGTGTCTGCTAACTGATGAGTTCAATACAGATGTCTTTCCCAATAAAGACACATGTTAACTAACTGCATATGTTAAGCAACTGGTTGGTTTCAAGATGGGAAAGGGAGGCCAGAATTCAAGGAGGAGAATGAGTGTGGAGAACTTGTGGACCTCCAGATATTGCTCAATTGCTGTTCTCATTTTTCTTCAACTCTGTCCACGTTGGAACTGTTGGGATTTCCGGTTAATAAACATCTGCAGGGCCAGACGTTCCATATCACTGGATGGAAGGACGTTATTTTATGGTAAATTGGGAAAACCTTTTAAACTTTCCTCATTTGCTTCTTGAATAAGGCAGCAGCATGCTCCAACGCTGGAAGATTTTAAGAAGAGATTGGACAACCATTTGTCTGAATGGTATATAGGGTTTCCTGCCTGAGCAGGGGGTTGGACTAGAAGACCTCCAAGGTCCCTTCCGGTTCTGTTATTCTGTTATTATAAGTGACTATCATGACTAGGGAGAATGTCCGTTTTCTGCAGCAACTTAGGAGAGACAGGCAAACTTGGTGAAGTTGTCTGCATTTTCTTTACTTTGTTACAGGATCCTTTTATTATATTGCTTATTTTTGTGCATTACTGATTCTTAGAACAATTGTTCCATGACTAATTAAGGGAAGTCATGAGGTTTGTTATATTGCCTTGTTATGGTAAAACGTATCTTTCCTTTCTTGATTAGACTTTAGTTTTCAGACCAAAGAATAATTGCAGGATTTTATTTCATGTCTAGGTAAGTGAATGGCTGGCTCCTTGAACCATTCCCATTTAGGAGGAAAATGGAGATGAGTAGGTGCTTTGTTTATCAAATCACAGTTGGGTTTTGTTTATTTGAAGTCTGCAGGAATCACATAACAGAGAACAAAGAAAAAAAATATCTAAAAAGATTCTTATCCAATTTTCTTGTATCATTTCTCTATTCTTTGGACTAATTGCTACCCTGTTTAAGATAGCAATGTTTGCTGTATATACATGTGCTTGTACTTTCAAACACTGAAACAGAATTTGCTTTATAATAAATGGGTGTTACAAATGTCACTTGTGAATTCTTAGCATTCATACAGTCTCCCGTTCATCTCTTGATGATCTTTATTAAGGTTGCCTTGGGCCCTAATGTTAATGCTGTTACTGGTAAGAATGGTCCCTTCTACAGTGAAGGTAAAGGTTCCCCTTGCACATATGTGCTAGTCAATCCGACTCTAGGGGCAGTGTTCCATCTCCATTTCAAAGCCGAAGAGCCAGCGCTGTCCAAAGACGTCTCCATGGTTATGTGGCCGGCATGACTAAACGCCAAAGGCGCACGGAACGCTGTTACCTTCCCACCAAAAGTGGTCCCTATTTTTCTACTTGCATTTTTTATGTGCTTTCGAACGGCTAGGTTGGCAGAAGCTGGGACAAGTAATGGGAGCTCACCCCATTACACGGCACTAGGGATTCGAACTACTGAACTGCTGATCGATCTTTCGATTGACAAGCTCAGCGTCTTAGCCTCTGA